GTTTCACAAGTCCTCGTCAAAAACAGTTCACGTTCCACGTCGATTCCAAGGCCTTTCGTGCTTCAAAATAGTCTCCGCCATTGTCAACGGCTGCCTTGGAACTGTGTACATGTGCTTGGGAATCTGGATTCTCGAAGAGAGGCTGAGGAACGCACACACTGCATTGCCTTTGAATTGGTGCCTGCTTACTTTGTTTCATGGGTTCGCGTGGTTGTTCGTGGGTTTAACCGTCAGCCTCCATGGAAAACAACTTCCAAAACAACCGTCAAGGCTGTTATCTATCCTTGCATTCTTGTTTTCCGGCATTGTCTTTGTTCCTTCGTTGTCTGCTGCCATTTTTCGGAATGAGTTGTCGCTAAAGACCTTTTTAGATGTCCTGTCTTTTCCAGGAGCAACATTGTTGCTGTTATGTGTTTATAAGGGGAATAAATACGAAGATGGCGATGACAGAGCCAATGAAAATGGCCTTTATAGGCCTCTCAATGGCGGAATTGGTAAAAATGATCGTGTCACCCCATTTAGCACAGCTGGATTTTTAAGTAAAGCCTCGCTTTGGTGGCTAAATTCGTTGATGAAAAAGGGCAGGGAGAAGACTCTTGAGGACGAAGACATACCCAAGTTGCGAGAGGAAGATCGAGCAGAAAGTTGTTACTTCCCAACCTTCAGTACTTAAGACGATAATCATATGCCACTGGAAAGAGATTTTCCTGTCCGGCTTCTTTGCTTTGCTAAAAATTCTTACTCTCTCGGCAAGTCCTCTGCTACTCAATGCTTTCATTTTGGTTGCTGAGGGAAAAAAAACTTTCAGATACGAAAGCTATGCGTTAGCCATGACACTTTTTCTTTCGAAAACCATTGAGTCCTTATCGCAAAGGCAGTGGTACTGGCGTTCCAGGCTAATTGGTATGAAAATTAGGTCTTTGCTCACTGCGGCCATTTACAAGAAGCAACTGAGATTATCCAATCCTGCTAAGTTGATACACTCGGGTGGTGAGATAATGAATTATGTTACGGTGGATGCTTACAGGATCGGAGAGTTCCCATTTTGGTTCCACCAAACTTGGACAAGCATCCTCCAGCTCTGTCTTGCATTGGTAATAGTTTTCCGTGCGGTTGGCCTAGCTACATTTGCGGCGTTGGTGGTGATAGTTTTGACTGTGGTTTGCAATGCTCCGCTCGCAAAGTTGCAGCATAAGTTTCACAGCAAGCTTATGGTGGCACAAGACAAAAGACCGAAGGCTTGTTCCGAGGCTCTTGCAAGCATGAAGGTGTTGAAATTGTACGCCTGGGAAACACATTTCAAGAATGCGATAGAAAAATTGAGGAATGAGGAACACAAAGGGTTATCAGCAGTGCTGCTGAGAAAAGCGTATAATACCTATCTGTTTTGGTCATCTCCTGTTCTGGTCTCTGCCGCAACATTTGGAGCATGTTATTTTCTTGAGGTTCCATTGCATGCGAACAATGTCTTTACTTTCATAACAACTTTACGCCTTGTTCAGAACCCAATTAGATCAATTCCTGAGGTTATTGGGGTAGTCATTCAAACGAAGGTTGCATTTGCACGCATGGTAAAATTCCTCGAGGCACCAGAACTGCAGACTTCAAATGTTTGGAAGTGCAACGTGGACAATGTAGGCTGCTGCATTGTTATTAAGTCAGCTAGTTTTTCGTGGGAGGAGAATTTATCGAAGCCTACTCTGAGAAACATAAATTTTGAGGTCAGACCGGGTGAAATGGTGGCTATATGTGGAGAAGTCGGCTCGGGAAAATCAAGCCTTCTAGCTGCAGTTCTTGGAGAAATTCGAAACGTTCAAGGAAATGTAAGTACCTATTTTCGTTTCCCTCGATAACTAGATAATACAATCAATTCATAAATTTCTCTTTTCGACTTTTAGATTCAAATTTTTGGGAAGATTGCCTATGTTTCTCAAACGGCATGGATCCAGACTGGAACAATACAAGAAAACATTTTATTTGGTGCAGCTATGGATGGTCGGAGATACCAAGAGACGATCGAGAAATGTTCACTGGTTAAGGACCTTGAGCTGCTTCCCTACGGCGACCTAACTGAAATAGGGGAGAGAGGGGTCAATCTGAGCGGTGGTCAGAAGCAGAGAATCCAACTTGCCCGTGCGCTCTATCAGAATGCCGATATATATCTCTTGGATGATCCATTCAGCGCTGTTGATGCACATACTGCTACAAACTTATTCAATGTAAATACACTTCTCTAGCACAGACAGTGCTTCTGTTGATCAACTTCTGCTTATACCGAAAGTTAATTTGTAAACTGCAGGAATATGTTATGGAAGCACTTTTGGGTAAGACGGTCTTACTTGTGACCCATCAAGTCGATTTCCTACCCCCATTTGATTCAGTTTTGGTTAGTCTACTTTCAACTCTAGCCTATTTAGTCATATATCAATCATCGAAAGGCAATCGAGCACAAACCTTCCAAGTTAAATTTTGTTGACAGTTGATGGTAGATGGGGAGATCCTACAAGCAGCTTCTTATCACCACCTGTTGGCCTCGAGCCAAGAATTTTAGGACCTTGTCAATGCACGTAAAGAAACCGCCGGTTCTGAAACGCCTGCAGATGCCACTTCCGCACAAAGTGGAATATCGTCCAAAGAGATTAAGAAGACTTACATAGTAAATCAACACAGAGCGTCATGTGACCGGTTGATTAAACAAGAAGAGAGAGAAACAGGAGACATAGGTTTGAAGCCGTTCATACAGTATCTGAAACAGAAAAACGGGTTCTTCTACTTCTCAACAGCGGTACTTCTACACCTCATTTTCGTTATCAGTCAGATAGCGCAGAACTCTTGGATGGCTGCTAATGTTGATAATCCAGATGTTAACACATTGCGCTTGATCGCAGTTTACTTGCTGATTGGATTTTCTGCAACATTATCTTACTATTTAGAACTCTTGCAACTGTTGTTTTGGGGCTTGAGGCATCCGAGTCTTTGTTCTCCCAGCTACTAAACTCGCTTTTTCGTGCACCTATGTCTTTTTATGACTCGACACCTCTGGGAAGGATACTTAGTCGGGCAGGCATTTCTAAGAGAGTTTGGTCATGAGTTAGGAGGAATTCAAGGAACTAGTGTTTTTACATGTTGTGTTTTTCTTATATAGGTTTCATCTGATCTTAGTATCGTCGATCTTGATATTCCCTTCTGCCTAGTCTTTGCGTGAGGAGCTGCCATAAATGCTTCTTCTAATCTTGTAGTACTGGCTGCTGTTACCTGGCAAGTTCTGTTCGTCTGCATACCGATGGTCTATCTGGCATTTCGCCTACAGGTAACGATGCAGAAACTACATACCTTCAACTACTGATACTTCTTTCTATTACGAATATACGAACAACCTGAAACAGAAACTGAGAGCGTAGAAATTTTCTTTCAGAAATACTACTTTTCCTACTTTTGTATTAAAACCCTTTGTCCCACATCGGCCAGAAGGCTTGAGAACAAGTCATTTATATAGAATTACCCCACTCTAACTAACACCGAGGCTTTTTGTATTAAAACCCCACACTTGACGGATTGAGCAGGTGGCCAAGTGGGGACAGTATCGGTGTTGTTGGAGTGGGCCCATGGCCCGTCCACCTGAAATTTAAGAGATCAATGGTACAACTAAGTCCTTTGTAGCAAACCACCTAGCCGAGTCTGTCTCTGGAGCGATTACAATAAGAGCTTTCAATGAAGAAGAGCGGTTCTTGGCGAAGAATTTTGACCTCATTGACACAAATGCAAGTCCTTTTTTCCATAGTTTTGCAGCGAACGAATGGTTTATCCAACGGTTAGAAATAATCAGTGCAGCAGTACTTGCTTCAGCAGCACTGTGCATGAGTTTGCTTCCTTCCGGAACTTTTAGCTCGGGTAAGCTTTTCTACTTTTCCGGTAAGTTCCTAGCTAATGGGAAAAAAGCCCGAGCCTCATACCAATTACCGTGTCACTGCAGGATTCATCGGAATGGCACTTTCTTATGGTCTTTTATTAAACATTTCCTTAATGTATTCAATTCAGAACCAGTGCACTATTGCAAATTGCATCATTTCCGTTGAAAGACTAAATCAATATATGCATATACCAAGCGAAGTCACTGAGATAGTAGAAGGAAACCGTCCCCCAGCCAATTGGCCAGACGCAGGGAAGGTGGAGATACGAAATTTGCGGGTAAATATTGCTTCCTGTAGTGTCGAAACTAATGAAGGTTGAAGTTTAAGAAGGTTGTTGATAGTTTTGATGTTAAACAGATCAGATACAGGGCTGATACACCACTTGTTCTGAACGGGATCAGTTGCATTTTTGAAGGACACAAGATTGGTATAGTTGGTCGCACAGGCAGTGGGAAGTCTCTCATAGGTGCTCTGTTTCGTCTGGTGGAACCAGCCGGAGGGAAGATTATAGTCGATGGCATTGACATCTCAACAATCGGTCTTCATGATCTCAGATCACGTTTTGGAATAATACCTCAAGATCCTACTCTTTTCAATGGGACTGTGAGATTCAACTTGGATCCCTTATCTCAGCACTCAAACCAGGAAATATGGGAGGTACTGCTCGTTCTATAATTTCTATGGTGCATTCCTTTTCGGTTGATTATTTTGGCATGGTTGCAAATTTGGACTTAGCAAAGTGTTATCTGTACATGTTGAAGGTTCTTCGGTAGTGTCAGCTTTGAGAGGCTGTTCAGGAGAAAGAAGGCGGCTTAGACTCGTTAGGTAAGGTTTTCGTATATCAGTTTGAGGTGTTGGCTTTTGCCTGTGAATTCTGATCAGCAGTATTAACTGATGACCTGGTTTTTCAGTTGTGGAGGATGGATCAAACTGGAGCATGGGACAAAGACAACTGTTCTGCTTGGGACGTGCCCTTTTGAATAGAAGTCGGGTACTGGTGCTCGACGAAGCAACAAAAATAATCGGCCACTCAGTAGAGATCAATGCTAGCACATTCATAACCAGCCAAGGCAACAAATGTAATCCACATAACACATTCAAAGGAAAATAAAATCTCTGATTAATCATAGAGAAGTATACATTCGATCTGAAATTGTCTAAAGCATTTGCACCAATCAGCACCTCCTACAGTACCAGCTCTAACCGAAAAATTACGATTCTGATCACGGAGGCTCTTATGACACGGCCAATTCAAGTTACAAATAACACAGCCTATTATTTGCCTCAAATTCCTAGTGTGGAAAGGATGATAAATACTTTCGTAACCCTCGAAAGTAACCTGTCCACAGAAGTCCATCAACCAATGAAGTATTTAGTGCCTTCGGAGAGGTCAATAAATTCAGAAGAGCAAACCACATGCCTGCAGGAATAATCTTTTGTTGTCCTCATGGCCCTCCAAGCACTGCATTCTCAATGTCCTCTCTGCTCAGTGCATAACTAAATCTCCTCTCCACATCCTTTTCAATATTTCCCGGTCCAGTCTTTAGATACCTACATCACCAGTGCAACACTTAGCAGCGGTAACAATTGATATAACAAAAAGGTTCATAATAAAATAGTTTCAAGCGATGATCTAGAGCATCATCAAGAAAAAACGGAGACAGTCATGTGATTAGGAAAGGCTAAAGGTGATGCAGGGTAAAATGAACACTATCAAGTATTCAGCCGTTCATCTACCTCGTTTTCACCTCCATCTTCTTTTCCCACAACCTTAAGCTTCCCACTTTCATCCACCGCAAACATTTCCCATCGTCTATAACTAGCTCATGTCATCAAGCGGCCAATCTCATTCATGAAATTTTGAATGTGATAAGGGGACGTATCTGCATAACGAAGAGGGCCAATCCTAAAGAAGCAAACTCTTATATCGTTCCTTTTCTACCACACATTGACTCTTTTCTCATTTTTCTGTGAATAGACACTAGTTCCGCGACTGCCAGTCGCACCCACGATCATGACCTCCAATTCGAGCAGCCAACAGGGTCAAGTTACCAAAGTAAATCACTCACTTACAGAAACTGGAAGCTACGAGTGGACCAAAGACATGAAAGCCTCAAAGAGGCCCTAACAAAACTCTGCTTTCATCGGAGTTCAGGTGCAATGCCTCTACTTCAATTACTCTTTTGTTCTAATTAATGGCGGATTAATTAGCAAAAAACATACTGCAAATTCTAAAACTTAACTTACAATCTCATTGAATTCACAATCTTTTTCCTATAAAAGTAACACTAAACCCTTAAGTAAACCACCAAATCGATACATCATCCAAAAATTCCACATATACATATACACATACATATATAGCACGAAATAGCAGAAACCCAGATGAGAAAACAGAAAACCCACCTCACATACAAATCGGTGACGTCGAGGGAGAGCTGCGCGTGCCACTCGGGCTTCTCCACCAGCCAAACCGCCCGGTCCTCTTCGCTCTGGTAAAACCCCAAGTTCCTCAGCCAGGCCTCGATGCAGGGGAGGCTGTGGGCGTACAGCGGCTTCTTCTTGTCCGGCAGCTTCTTCAGCCACTCGTCCTCCGGCGCCGACGACTGCTCCTCTTCTTCCTCCGCCTCGGAGGGCTTGGAAAACACCGGGACCGAGAGCTTTCTGGAAGAGTGAGTGAGGGGATACGGTGGGAATTTGGGTGAAAGTGAAGGGTACGGAGTTGGATACTTTGGGAAACTTGAGGAAGAAATGGAGGAGAAGGTGATGAATTTGGAGACAGAAATGGAGGAGAAGGTGATGGCGGACATGTTGGGACTCTGTTGTAATTTTACAATATTTCAGGGGTTAGATTTTAGAGAGAGAAAGTTTGGAGCTTTCGGGGTCGAAGGGAGAGAGAGTTTGTAACAGAACAGTACACAGAACGTGTTATCTTCTCCATGTGCGCTTGGCCGTTGGGCCTTATGAGCCTCTTTTCACTTTTTAATGATGTGTAAAATTTGGTTTCTCGCATAAGCATCATTTGTGCCATCGTGTTTCTCCTAAAAACGACATCATTTGCTAAAAACAAATCACATATGTAACAATTATATTGAAATTTTCGTAAAAAGTGGTGCGTTTTTTCACGTGAAGAAGTACTTTAAATGTTTTTAATTTTAGTTTTATTTTTTCCCACTGATGTCAAAAGCTCTTTTGTCCTCTAAAAGCGCTTTCAACAAATTCAGAAGCATGCCAAACAGGTCCTTCAATCAGATTAAAAATATTTCCTTTACCGCCAAAATTTAGTTTCCCGCCTAAGCATCCACCGCACCGCCGTTTTCTCGTCGAACGACAGCGTTTGGTTATACTGCCTTTATTCATCATTTGCAGCTCACTTCTTCTCTGCAGTTAAAGTCCGTCTCTTTTTCCGCCTGCAAATGCGATGGCATCCGATCGGAGCTCCGGCGACCCAATCGCCGACTACGGCAAAACGCAGCGCATCGTCCTCCTCCTAGACCTCAACCCACTTCTCCACCTCCAAAACCCAGCTCCATTTCTCACCGCCCTCCTCTCGGCCGTCAAAACCCTCCTCTCCTTCCCACCTCTCTCCTCCTCTCTCTTCGCCTTCAGACCCTTCTTCTCCTCCCTCTCTCCGCTGCTTTCCTCCTCCAAGATCCCCACTTCCCTCTCCCTCTCTTTCCACCTCCCAGGCCCATCTTTCAACTCCCTCTCCCAAACCCTCAATTCCCTCCCCGCATTTCGCCGCGACCCGTTGTCGCCCCCCCGGGCTTCTAACCTCGCCGCCTCCTTGCGCCAGCTCGTGCACGATTACGCCTGGGACCCCGTGGTCTGCGATCCGGTAACGGGTATGTTTTCGAATTGTGATTCGACTGCTGTGAGGTCCAATTTGGTCGTTCTGTTTTCGCCCCTTTGTGTACCTGCCAACTGTTTGACAGAATTCCTGAATGTGGGTGTGGGTGACGAGTCTTTGGAAAATGTGAATGCGTTTTCCGAGAGATTTCGGGGTTTCTTTGAGAATGTGAATGATGCATTTATGAGTAGGGATATTCAATGTAGTTGGGTTGATGTCAGGTATGAATTAGAATGTGGTGAGGGTGAGGTTGGGAACGATGAGGATAAGACGAGATTTGAGTTTTTCGAGAGTGGGGTTAGGAGTTTGGGATGGGGATTTTGTTCAACTGATTCGATTGTTCTTGGTTCTGCTCTTGTTCCTTTTGGTTTGATTTATCCAGAGATTGGGATTTCATCCAAGTTTTTCGGTTGTAATGATAGTCATAAGAAAGTCAACGCGCAGTTGAGTCTCGAGATATTAGATGTAAGTGGGAAGCCTTTGGAATGCAAGTTTTGTGATCTTCAATTGGTTGATTTGAAGATGTTGCCTAGAAATGCAGCTGATGATACATTCTTTTCCCTAGAAATCATGAATTCACAAACAAAAGGTGGTAAACTGAAGGAATTGTTCTGGGGGAATTTTGGTAAAGGCGTGACAAAGTTTCAGGTTATGGCTTTGCAAAAGTATAATGAGTTTCTGAAATTCAGGGGGCACTTATCTGATCCTCTCCTTGTATGTGAAGGTTCGGAAAAACCTGGTAAAGATGGAAAAGAAAGTTTTGGCAATTATTATGCAGATAAGGTTCTAGAAATGCTAGCAGTGGACTTGGGTGAGAATGCAAAGAGAAAATCTACACCCAGTTGGCAGATTCTCTTGAGTTTCTTATATAGGAATGGTCATGGAGCATTAGTGTCTCTTTCAAATGACAGTGGTGTATCATATACCGCAATCCTTAAGCCTTTCACAGTTTCTTCGGCTCTTCTGTTTATTGTGGACGAAGGATTTCACCCTCAGACAAAAGTGCATGATATTGGTGGAGCAAAAGCAGACCGATTAAGTCCAAAGATGAAGAATGAGATTTGCAAACCGAATGCTGATTTGGACCAAACTGGGCCACCTAATAAGCATTCTGCAGGCAAGGATGGAAGGAAGCGGAATATCAAAAGAAATTCACATTTGCTACAAGATCTCACATGGAGTGCTTTCTGCAAGGCAGCATTTGAACACTCAGAGCTAAGTTTGGAAGAGGTTTACTTTGCCAGGGAATCGTATAACTCAAAAAAGATGAGATTTCTGAAATGCTGGATGAAACAGATTAAAAAGTCTAGCGAATGTGGCCTAATAGAGGAGAAAGAATCCCAGGCAGACAAGCTCCATAAAAAAGAGATGGACAATAGGTTGGATAACTTGCACCAAGAAAGTGAACAGCCAATTTCTTCATCTCCTTCCATTGGAGAAAATTCTTTGACTGTGGCTTCTGGTATACAAGATGAAGCTGCTTTGGAATTTAGATCAGAAACGTTGGAAGCTTTTTTCAGTAGTCTATCCAACAAGATCCAGCAAGGACTTGAATATGAAGCAGTAGACTTGGGGGCTTTGGCATATCGGCTTGTGAATTCATCCATATATTGGTTAAATACAAAGCGGGAAACAGAAGCCCTGTCAGAGAGTCAAACTCCTCTTGTAAATTCTGGTGCTACTGATGATTTGGTTGCTGCCGAGGTGTTAAAACTTCTACTCAGAGATCCCAAGGATATCAATGCAAGGCAGAAAAGCTGCAACCTCTCTGTTAAAGCATCTGATTCAGAATCTGAAGGACTTGCTTCGGGAAATATTGTTCGAGAGTATCCTTTTTCATTTATAACTTAACTACTATGATAATTTGTCTCTGGTTACATTCATACTTTTCCTTCACCGAGTACTAGATATGAATTGCAGATATTTTTCCGGATGGAGATACTGCAATCAGAGGTTGGTGCAAGTATTCCAGAGTCTATGAAACAGAAGTTTGTAAAACATATTTGCTCATTTTTGGAGAAAATTCGGTGTCATCTGGAGGGAGGCTTCTTTGGTGACTGGAGTGTAGATGATTATGTTGAAAAGATCATAAAAAACAGGTAATGAGTCTCTACATGGTTGAAATCTCCTACCTCTGAAATCGTAATCTTTACCTTCTTTCGATGTTTATTGAGACATCACGGCTTTCTCTAAAAGGCTAGAGCACACTAAATTCAATCTATGATTCACATCTCAACATGTAGGCATGTCAAGTGCCATTGTTTTCCATTTTTGCTATTGGATATTACTTCTCGTCTACCAAATGCTGTCCTATGTACTTTTGAATTTTGCAAAATTTAAGGAAAGTGTTTATCTTTATTATTTTAGAGGAGTTAAGTGTCTTTCCATTTTAGTGTAAATATGCAGGATTTCCGCCAGTTATTCGCACATCGTACCCATGTTTTTCTGAGTGAGTTGGGAGTGCACATACAACTTTTGCAATAACATATTAATCTACAATGTGATTCTTGAACATGGAGTCAAATGATCTGTCATTCGTTTTCCCTAAAGTACATTTGCCGGCACTCCATTTTTGTTAGATGAAGATTAAGCTGATAGACTAATCTTTGAACTCCCATACTTTCAGGTACTGTGAGACACTTGAGGACGTGGTTCACAAAATCTATATGAAAATGGATTTGTTGCTGTTTGCTGACGAGGAAGAACTCCCTAATAGTTTACTCAACAGCGAGGACAGCAATCGATCCTGTAGAGAAAAACCAAAGAGAGATGAAGTGGATGAAAATTACAAAATCTGGGACTCATTGTCAGCAGAAGGTGAGTCCCTTGGTCTGCTGAAAACTGATAGTGGAAGACCAACCGCTGAAGAGGTTAAACAAAACGACGACCATGCTCGCAAGTTAGTTGAAGCTCAAGAGAGTAGAGAGAGAGCTCGAAGATTCGCTTCTTTCACAAGAAGGATGCCCGATCTGCAGAGAGTTTGGGCCCCAAAACAGCTAAAACCATTGAAACCGAAGTCCAATCCGCTTCGAAAGCTGTTTAAAAGGAAGGATCATAGAGGGTCATGTGATGACAGGGTATGTGAAACCCCAATGACAGGAATCAAACGCTCATGCTCGCAAAGCAGCTGGGATGACGAAGAAGATTGCCGAGAATACAGTAGCCAGCCGTGTGGTTCTGTTTCGAAAGCATTGTTCCAGGATGATGACCAGTGAAATGGAGCTGCAATGAGACACGGAAAGCATATATTATAGTCTTACCAAAAGCAGCTCAACTTAAACCATTTGATTTTCAAGTGCAAGCTTCTCTCTTTAATTGTATTATTAATTTTCAGTAAAACAGTTCTATTATTTTCTTAGTGGTATACAACAACAAAAATTAATAAAAAACAATGTGTGATTTTTAATTTTTCAAAACAAAGTGGGAAAATGCTTTGTTGTTGTTGTCAAGACCCGTTTCATTTTTCCCGTTCAATATACCAGAAAAATTGTTGTCACTATCTAATCACGTCATTCATAGAGCACTACTCACGGGAGACTATTTTGGTAGCAACGGATCTGAAAAAAGTATATAGAAAGAGTTCTTTTCTTTTTTTCTTATTTTTTGGCAACAAAAGAGTTCTTTTCTTTTATATTAGCATTTAGCATTAGGTTGAAAGTTGTCGAGGTGATAGCAAAAGTAGGGAAGTAGAAGCAAGAGGTCTTAAAAAAAAAATTGTGTAATAAAGCTTCTGAAACACAAAAAAAAGTTATTGGCTTATTAAATTATTTATTGAGTCATGAAAAAATTCTTTTGTATTCTTATCTCATTCAATTTTATATTATTTCTATCAGTGTAAGAGTTATCCTAATCAGCAGTTCTACCGAAGTTTCTCGAAAGATTTGTCGTTGCTAAACTAAACTAACCCAAACCCATGTTCACAACACCACAGTCCAATTCATGAGAGCCATTACTCCCATTTCCCGCCAGTTTACAACTGCCAGACAACTACCAGCCATCATAACATCTACTCGAAAAACCGAACCTTTCCTACAGGACCCAGTTCTTGCACACCAAGTGTTTGGTAAAATACTTGATCAAATCCCAGATATCAAAACACTGAAGAAACTCCATTCCAGCATCCTCGTCAACCAAAATCTCCATTCGGACGCATCGCTGGGCATCAAACTCATGAGGGCCTATGCTGCTTGCGGAGAACCAGGAATCGCACGCCACATATTCGACGAAATTCCTGAGAAGAATGTTGTCTTCTTTAATGTCATGATCAGGAGCTATGTGAACAACCATTTGTACCATGATGCTCTTCTTGTTTACAAAACTATGTCTGCCAAGGGTTTTAACCCGGATAATTATACGTTCCCTTGTGTGCTGAAGGCGTGTTCCGGGTCGGATAATTTGTGGGTTGGGTTGCAAATTCATGGTGCTGTTGTGAAAGTTGGCCTTGATGTGAATTTGTTTATTGGGAATGGTTTGATTGCCATGTATGGGAAATGCGGTTGTTTGGTGGAGGCTCGGAGTGTTCTAGATGAGATGCCGTGTAAAGATGTGGTTTCTTGTAATTCTTTGGTTGCCGGGTATGCTCAAAATGGACTGTTCAATGATGCGTTAGAGGTTTGTAGGGAAATGGAGGCGTTCGGGCTTAAACCAGATGCCGGTACCATGGCTAGCCTATTCCCGGCTGTGTCCAACACTTCATCGGAGAACGTTTTGTCTGTTAAGGATATGTTTATGAAATTGGTGAAAAAGAGTTTGGTTTCGTGGAATGTGATGATAGCGGTGTATGTAAATAATTTAATGCCCAGTGAAGCAGTTAATATTTTCTTACAGATGGAGGCGAGTGGAATAGAGCCTGATGTAGTCACAATCGCCAGTGTTCTTCCCGCTTGTGGGGATCTTTCGGCTCTGTTGTTAGGGAAACGAATTCATGAATATGTTGAGAAAAAGAGACTCAGGCCAAATTTGTCGTTGGAGAATGCATTGATCGACATGTATGCTAAGTGTGGATGTTTACAAGATGCAAGAGAAGTATTTGATGCCATGAAATTTCCGGATGTTGTATCATGGACTTCAATGATGTCTGCCTATGGTAGGTGTGGACAAGGTCGTGATGCCATGACACTCTTTAGGAAAATGCAAGATTCGGGCCTGATTCCGGATTCAATTGCATTTGTATCGGTAATGGCCGCGTGCAGCCACGCAGGATTGCTGGATGAGGGACAGCATTACTTTAAAATGATGACTGAGGAGTACAGGATAGAGCCTAGGATAGAACACTGTGCTTGCATGGTTGATTTGTTTGGGCGTGCTGGAAAAGTGGATGAGGCTTACAGTTTTGTCAAACAGATGTCACTGGAGCCTAATGAAAGAGTGTGGGGTGCTCTGCTTAGTGCTTGCCGGGTATACTCTAACATGAACGTTGGACTTCTAGCTGCTGATCGCCTTTTCCAATTGGCTCCCGAGCAGTCAGGTTATTATGTCTTGTTATCAAACATCTATGCAAAAGCCGGTAGATGGCAAGATGTCACAACTGTCCGATCAATAATGAAGAGCCGAGGAATCAAGAAAATTCCCGGTGTCAGCAATGTTGAGCTCAACGATCAGGTCCATACTTTTCTTGCTGGTGATAGATCACATCCTCAATCTAAAGAAATATACGAAGAGTTAGACGTGTTGGTAGGGAAAATGAAGGAGTTAGGCTATATCCCTGAGACTGATTCCGCTCTCCATGATGTCGAGGAGGAGGAGAAGGAATGCCATCTAGCAGTTCACAGCGAGAAGTTGGCAGTAGTGTTTGCCATTCTAAATACAGAGCCAGGGACACCGATCAGAATTACCAAGAATCTTCGTGTTTGTAGCGATTGTCATATTGCAATTAAGCTCATTTCCAAAATAGCGGAACGGGAAATTGTTGTCAGGGATACTAATCGCTTCCACCATTTCAAGGACGGTTTATGTTCTTGCGGAGATTATTGGTGACTGATAAGCCTCCACCCGCTACTCGCACAATGTTGCCCTGTACCTCGGACTTCTTAAAACCTTCAAGCGCAAGACATGAACTAAATGACTGTGGATGGTGACTGCGTTGGTAGAGCATCATGTGGTCAGTGGCGGTTTTGGGCATGTGCATATAGGTGCCCTTGCACTGGGCCGCCAACCCTAAAGGCCCCCCTAAAAGATGATGTCATCTACATATGTAACAACTTGGTTTGTGGCAAAACTTTAATCTTTGAATTTTTTTCAGCGTGTGAATAAGAGAAATATGATCTATGTTTTTAGTTTGGTTATGACAGCTCTGCTGTAAATTGTATTTTATTTATTTTTTTCATGATTTTTTATTTGAATATAACTCACAAGTAATAATACACATTTAGATCCCTTATTAATACAACTGTGGACAAATAAATTAGCTTTGTAGCATGAGCTTTTTATGCAATGGCCCATTTACTATCTTCCGCACAAGGCCTTAAAATCTCAGAGCTGCCCCTGCATGTGGTATAGTGAACCCTTTGCTGGCTGCAACGGTTGATTACTAGTCAATTTGTTAACTATCGAAGTCTTGTTTGATAACCATTTCATTTGTACTCTTGATAGCGAAGCATGAACTTCAGCAAACAAAATCGTCTCTGTCAAACAGATCACAACACAACACACCTGGCTCTAGTAGATAATTTTTATTTTCCAAATTATTTTATCAATCATGTAACTTTATCTTTCAAATGTTTGTGTAAGACCGCGAAATAGTTCAAAGTCATGAGACATCAAGTTCAAGGTCAAGATATAGCAGCCAGCAATTTGGCATCATCTTAGATGGTACTAGAAATAATGCCTGCGCGTTGCTGCGGGAACCAGCTGTTTCAGGCGTAATCGAATGAATAAAACACATTTAAGTTGAATAAATTCAACACAATTATGAATACATTAAGATGAATATAGATTCTTAACATGTTTAAGTAGCGAAAAGATTACAGCACTTTGGATGTGTTAACAATCCATAAGCTGATGACTCCCTCCCTGGTTTATCGCATCATTCTTAATGTATTCAACAATGCAGCAGCAATTAAAAGTCCTTGAAAAATGCCTAGCTACTATAAAGACATGACGAAAACTATATCTCACCTTACCCCCTTGTTGGCATAGACAGCAAATCCATCCTTCTTGTTCGGGGCGAATCATAATCCTGAACTACATTATCATCATCGTCGAGAATGTCAAACTGTAAATCAACCATGCATTAAACAAAACTTAGAAATTAAACAATTATCAAAGCTTGGGAAGAATGCTAAATCCAACTAATTCGAAACATAAAGCAACCTGAAAGAGCCCGAAAGAGAGAAAACTTATAAATTCTATACAAATTATAATCCTTAAGAGAAGGATGGAACAAAACAGGTTCATTCTTGAGAACAGATGTAATTTTACACATTGCATATATGTAGATTTAAGGACGGCCTGGGCTAAAATAAAGAGGATGAACTCTAGAAAGTAGAAAATGTTGTTGTTCAACCAAACTCAAAAGTAAAGAAACCATAATATTGACATATAAATAAGTTTTATATATCAATGTTTACATGTACATTGTTTGAGAAGGTAAATTAGCAACATACACAGTGATCAAAAGATTAACAGCAATAAACTGCTAATTATTCGAAATATACATGAAAGTTGTCATTCACATGATCCAAATGGTAGTTAATGCAGAGGACAAAACAGAAGGAAACAAATATTATACTGGCATAAGTTGAATAATTGCAGCAAGCAAACAAATAGAAGACTAAAAAACTGAAAATGAAAACAGGTAACATTGAGTTTTAATAACCAAAAGGGGACCTTGTTTAAGCAGCTCCACAACATCATTTATACTTGGACGATGAGCGGCAAAAACAGAAAAGAAAACACAAATTAAACAAAAAAAATATAGAATTTAACACTAATCCAAGGATTAAATGTCAAGTATAAAGTCAATTGGATTGGGACCTTTGCATTGAGGAATATCTACTACATTATGAGTTCCCTCTCCTTATAAAGCCCAATCAGGGGGTTTTCCGGTGAGCCACGAACGGGTTAACTTTGCACGACACCGCCATCCCCACTAACACCAAACCCAGATAATATCAAGATCAAAACTAACCATTACCAGAAAGATATTTCTTTTTATTTAAATTTTAAGAAAAGGCCTAAACTTTACGAAATTAAGAGGAAAAAAAAGGTTAAGTAAAGCACCAATTTGCAACTATCAAAGTGAAATCTGAAACTCCAACTGTGTTGAAGAACTCTGTCGCCTCATCGACGATAACCGGACGGTGGAGATTGAACTGGTGCGTAGACCCGGAGCACCTGATTATACACCGAACAAAAAACAAAATTTAAATCAAGTCGAACAATAATTATGAGAAAAAAAACTATAAGGGATTTGAGCTGAGAGTTATGATTCGAAGTGCGGGCAGTGGAGGGTGCAGGCGGCGGCGGAGGAGGGGTTGAGCTAGGGCTCAGTGAGAGAGAAGTTAGTGCTAAAAGCACTATTTGTCAGCCAATCATATAACAGCCACACCACTTTTCTATATATGACAAAAATTAAGAGTTCTCCAAACTCAAGCATGAAATTAGATTCACCAGAGAACTGGAAATTGCACATGAACAAAATAATATACATCATGCCGTGATTTTCAAAGAAAAAAAGAATACCTTCTTCATGTCCGCTTTAGGAGGTGGAGGCTCTTGATAGAAGATTGGCATTGGAGTTGTTTTAAGTCAGTTTCTTCCTAAACATCCTAATGTCAGCTTCTAGAGTTTCCAGTAAAAGAACAAACAACATTCATAATAAGAATGTAATTGCACACACAGGTTTCAGTTGACCACCATTGATTGAATACCACCTCATGCTTGGCTTGCAAATTATTCTTTTCCATCTCCTTTGCATGTATCTTTTCCTCCAGTTTAGTATAAAACTGCCCAAGGTAATTGTAAACGTTACTTCGATAATAGATTAAGCACACAACAAAGGAAAAATCAGAAAGATGCAAATGCAGAAACAAACAACCACCCAAAAATTCAATATCCATTTTCCCCTATGATGCTATTTTTAAGAAAACTATCATCTCCTTCAACAGATTTATTCATGAGATAATTTAAAAAATAAAATAACTTTCACCATTAACTGTGAATATCCTCATAGGGTAACGATTCTCAGAATTAATCCCTACCTACCTCCTATCCAGAATTAAACTTAGTTTTCCAAAATCAAATTATACTGATTGATAAGGATTTAGGAGCAGTATGTGCATATGCAATAAAACTCATAATTTGTGAGTTTTATGTAAATGATCCATTAATTTTCTATATTCAGGAGACAGTTTCTGATATTAAATTACGCCGGAGGGTACGCGAAAGTTGGACTGTGGTTTATTTGGTTCTACTTCTGAATTTCCTCTTCATTAAATTGTTTACTTACCTGCTTCTAGTCTTACTTATGAATCTATTTTTTTAGAATAAAGTTAGAAGATGTTCTAGCACCAGAGACTATTAGAAGTTGGAAAGATATGCCGATGCAGCGGTTGGAGAACAGTTTGGGAAACTTTGGGTAGGAAATATGCTCGCAAGGAAAACCGACAATGGGTGAGTATCACTCTCAAAGCTGGTTTATGTTTAAATTAGTGAATTACCATAATCTTTGCTGGTTGGTTTTCACTCTTGGCCTATTTTAGTGTGTAAATGCTGAATGTATTCCTCTTTTTGCATGATCCTGGACAACTCTTACACCCTTACTACATTGTCACCCTTCTGATTTTTGAAGAACAAAGACTTAACTTTGTCCTAAACTTTTCCTAAATCAACCTAACTGTGTCTTAAAGATTTAGACCCGACGACATAGTAGTGTTTTGGCAATTCTATTTCTCTTCCGCCTTAATTACAGAAGTAGCACAATTTATGGGGAAGAGAAGTTTTCATGCTGATGAAAGATATACACTCAGCATCTTTCAGATTCGGGGATTGTACATTTTAAATTGAATTGGATAAAGCTGAATATATTATTTGAAAGACTCAGTCTTCAGAAGTTCTAATCATATCCTATTCATTCTTAGTGTGGTTGTGAAAATCTCCTAATGCATAGTTTAAGGAGCTGTAGGAATCCGTTTTGTTCTGTGTGGAACACTCGGGCAATGGTGTAATAACAGGCAAGATTGGAAGTGCAAAGAAAAAGACTAATAGGATCATCTGCTAGAGTCTAAAGCTGAGAGAAGTGCAAGAAAACTACAGGTATGTGAGAAATTTTATTTTGCTAATCGGACCTCTGGTTTATAGATGCATGATAAAATAATTGAAAAGCCATAGTTTATCACATGGTTTTTTATCCTAGCCATAATTAGACTAATGTGATTTATACCTAGAGACTAATGTGGTTTTTCACATGCTTTTTTTCACTCAAAATGTATAGGAATATGAAAATGATCATCACAAATTTCAAATCCTGCATTAACCGAAATTAAAACAATTATTCAAATTCCTAAATTAAAACAGCATTTAGAAGCACTATAAACTCAAATTACAAAAAACATCAACAACATGGTGAGAATGAAGATTTATTTTATAGAAAATGATAAATCTTTCTCAACCAATATGCTAAAAATGTTCGCCACCAGTATATAATAAAATACCGAATGCTAAATTCATCACATAGCACCAACTTTAAACGGATCTCCTTCCAAAATTAAATTAAGAATTCACATGCCACTCATTAAGAAAATCATACTAACTGAAGCTGTATATTGTAAAATGCAACTGCTTTTAGAATTCCTAAGTCATATCAGTTAGCAAGAAACCCATACTAACTCAAGTTACAGTTTCATAACGCAACTACAAAAAGACCAAGCTTCTACTGCAAAAAAGCTTTTACAAAATCATAAAACTCTTTAACCGTTTGAACCTTACCAGAAAGTTTATATGAGTTGAAGAATAGTTGTACCTAAGTGCAGCAAGATCATAACCTCTTACAGCTTCTCCTCTGCATCAGAACCACCTACAGTCCAAATTAACAAAGATTCAATGCCAGATCAAGAACAAATCAGTAATAATTTAAACTAAAATCCCTAACTATTGTTGCAGAGAGAATTCATATCAAGATTAACTACATTATTTAATTCGAATGGAATCCAAAAGCAGCATAAATATAAAGGGTAAAAAATTAATAGCAAAAGTCACATTTCAGCAGCAATTAATAGCAGAAATCAGAGTTTAGTGGCAGGGACCAAAACAATTTCAGTAAAAAAAGACCAGAAACTGCAATGACTAACATATTTAAATAAATGTGAAAATCTATTTACAACCACATTTACAATGTCTAACATATTTACAATAACTTACATATATATAGGTGTCCAAGTGTCCATATCAAGGTTGTAGTTCACAAGTTCAGGAACAACTTCAATGAAGAAAGCATGCTGATCTGAACAATAGAAAATGGGGTTTCGAAGCTCACAACAAATCTGACGGGTTGACAGAAAAATAATAACCAGTCATTCATCATACCTGAATTTCTTGAGTTATACAGCTCCGAGGGATCTCAATTTTGGATATGTTGTAGTTCACAAGTTAAGGAACAACTTCGATGAAGAAAGTATGTTGATCTGAGCAAGAGAAAATGGAGTTTTTGAAGCTCACAACAAGTCTGACGCGTTGATATACAAATGACGAACAATCACTCATCATACCTGAATTTCTGGAGTTGTACTGCTCCGGTGGATCTCCAATTCGGATATGTTATAGTTCACGAGCTAAGGAACAACTTTCATGAAGATGGTTTTGCGATTTGAGCCACAGAAAATGGTGTTATATTGAAGAGCTACCACTCCCTCTACGTAGACACCCTCCTTGGTTTACCTAGCTCCAACACCCACATTTCCTTCAACAAGACTGCAGCAAATCAGATTGTGAGGAAAGATGGCAATCTTTCCAGCCAAAAAGGAAAGGCAAAGCAAAAGAAAATTAAACACATTGATGGCATATTATGAAAGAAGAAAAGGAAAAGTAGTAAATGATGATGAAGTGTGGGAACAACATCATGACAAATGATGATGAGTCATGCTTTCCCCCCTCCTTGGATTCGGCTGAAAACATCCCCCTATTTGGATTCAGCTGAAAACATCTCACTCAGTCGACAAAAAAAAAAAAAACAAAAAAACAAAAAAAAAAACAAAAAACAAAAAACAAAAAACAAAAAACAAAAAAAAAAAAAAAAAACAAAAAAAGAAAAAGGGCCTAGGCCTCCACTTCTTTGGGCCTAACACATCTTCATAACAAAAAAACAATATATGAAGAAAGAGCCCTGGGTTACCACTTCGAAAAGAAACAAGTGAAGTTTTCCTACTCATGACATTGACTACTAGCTAGACACCTCATTCGGCAACTCTCTTTCGCCTGAAGACTTGGGGGACTCCCACCATATGCTACTGCACCTTGATACTCGGCAGTCTCACAACCACTCAGTGACTTGGATTTTTCAAGTCTCCAACCGAGAAGTTTTCCTCACTCGGGAAATTAAGGGAACACTACCTCAAACTACATGCTTCACTCACAAAGCTTCAACAATACAGGTTTCAACAAAAGCAAAAATTCAAAGAACTTTATGAAGAAGGCTTTGGTGTATTTAACACAATATGTTGAAATGAAGCAAAGCTTATTTATTAATATTTTCGATAAGCCACAAATATGTACATATACATGAGTCAAAATAAACAAACAAAAGGGAGCCTTCACAAAGGTTGCTTAGGCGAAGTCTCAGCAGTCGGTAGAGCCCCAGAAAGAGAAAGCACCGGAGGGTGGTTATCCGGAGCCTCAGTACTTGACAAAACCCCAGAAGGAGGAGGCATTGGAGGTTCATCATTTGAAGCTTCATTACCAGGTACAGCCCCAGAGGACGAAGGCAATAAATGCCTTTGGAACAAACCCACAAACCGCTGATGATCAAGTAAAACCTTACCATCAGATTCCTTCATCTGGTCAAGCTTCCTCTTCATGTTTGTAGCATAGTCATGGGCGAGCCGGTGCAACTGCTTATTCTCATGCTTGAGCCCTCTAATCTCCTGTTTGAGACTCATCACTTCAGCAGCCAATGATTCAACTTGGCGGGTTCTAGCAAATAGGCGTTGGGCCATATTAGACACAGAACTTGCACACTGAACACTAAGAGCCAGAGAGTCCTTAACAGCCAACTCATCAGACCGTTTGGAAAGTAGTCTGTTATCTTTGGGAGTGAGAAGGTTCTTGGCCACCACTGCAGCGGTCATATCATTCTTCATCACAGAATCCCCAACGGTAAGAGGACCAGTAGGGGATATGAAGGATGGGCGCCATATGTTGTCTGTAGAAGGCGTGGCTGTCTCTTCTCCAAGGTTCAAGTCAAAACGACGGTCGGAGGGTTCAGACATTTTCAAATGTGTTGAAAAGGGAAGAGGTCAGACAAATCAAGATCTTAGAAGTGCAAGAAATGAGCTTCTACTGGTAAAGATTCAAGTGTGCTGTGGAACTTAATGCCAGCCTCTATAAAAATCTGCACTCGACGGAGCTTCAGAAATCGAAGAGGCGTTTGCTTTCTCAAAAGCTGAGCTGCTCAGAGACCACGAGGGCTGATCTCAGAAATCGAAGAAGCACCTGCTTTTTCAGCCTCGTCAGCACCTGTCACATGCACACTCAGCTTTGCGGAAATTACGGGCAATCTGTCGAAGATTTCTGGTGAAGTAGAAACAACGCTATTTCTATGGGTTTGAGTTAAAGAGTTCAATGAACTCGCTCTAAACTCCGACAAACTACACAGGGCTGTTATCTATCGGCAACTCATTATCAAGTTCAGTACGCACAAATTCTTCGTATCCACAAAAGCACAAATTCTTGTACTGCCAAAAGCATCTGCAACCCAATATAAAACTATACAAAAACTTTAATAATACATGAACCATAAACACAATTAATTCCCTGACCAAAAACCTCTAAAAAACCAAGCTTGCAAGCATAAACACAAAGTCTTCAATCTTTCCGGGCTAAATTAATAACATAATCAATTCAACCCCATTTCCACAATTAAAATTTTAAAACCATCAAACTTGTACATTGAAAGTCATGATATCAACTGCAATGCACAGAGAAAAATGCAACTGCACATAAGCTCTTAAGCACATTGAAAGTCACGATATCAAAGCAGTGATGTAACTTCTTCACATGATATCATTTTGAATCATTCCAAAGAATATGAATTCTACGTGATTTTGTCAAGGGTAACAACTGGTGCAAGAATTAAGATAGAAAACAATGCTGGGATGATGAATTATGAAAGCATAAGGCAGGGATTATGATTAAAAGTACCTAAACCCTATTTTCTATCTGTACTACTGTCTTTCAAATGGATCCTCAATTTCTTAAATCACGGAAAAGAACCAGCTGAAAAAGTTAAGAAAAAAAAAAGTTCAACTGTGTATAGGTACCAAAGAAAATGCTTTTTTCTAAGATTTATTGATTTATGCTTGAGAACATGTGAACAATCAGCAAGAGACACAACTGATTTAGGCATTACCCAAACACTGAATCAGATAACACATTAGTAGACAATCCAACACCTCACCACTTCCTTAATTAAAGGTGGAAACATAGGGTACAAAAACATGATTTTCAATTAAAAAAAATAAAGAACACGTTAAGGGCTTGAATTGCAGGTGCACTCTCTCAGTTAGTAGCAAATAATATAGTCATGCTGCTTATAGTTATACTAAAACAACCATCACCTAAAAGGCCACACCTTTATGCTTCATTCAAAATAGCTACCATAAACATTTTGCAGTCCAAAGCTCCAATAATTCAAAGCTCATAAGAAAACTGAAAGTAACTAATTAACCACCATCACCTAGAAGGCCACACCTTTATGCTTCATTCAAAATAGCTACCATAAACAATTTGCAGTCCAGAGCTCGAATAATTCAAAGCTCATTAAAAAACTGAAAGTAACTAATTAATCTTAAAATAAAGCAATTTGGTACAGGAAAAAAAAAAGAAGAGAACTCTGAGCAAATACAAATACCCCTAAAGATTCTAAAGAAACAAAACCCTAGTTCTCAAATTACAGAACACTAAATTAGATACTAACTTTTTACTTCTGTTATCTTTCGGAATGCATGGTGAATTCATTTTTATTAATAATCTATTGTAAGTCTGAATGGGAGTTTCTGATGGACTGGTAACTGAATGCAAGGGATTAGGATGAGAGAACTTAGGTAACGGCGTGATGTAATGACACTAAATTTCAAATTTTCTTTTAAAGAGTCAATAGTTTAGAGCCCAGCCTCTGCCTTTAACAGTCTTTAGTCTAAAGCAAGGTCAAGACAACCTCCGGCTTCTGATCACAGAATAAAAAACCAAAACATCAACTACTAATTCATGGTGATCACATATCAATTACATGATCCAAACAAAAATCATAGCTCTTGTTTCGAAAATTACGGCTTAGGGTTAACAGAACAATTACAGGTAAGCAGATAAAATCAAATGGTGAAGTTAGGTAGATCTATTGGTCGATTTCTGTTAGAAAAAGCACACCTAATGCCAAACAGATATGCAAATATGGTTACCAAACAGATCTCTACGCAATGTACCAACCAAACCGCTACCAAACAAAACCCAATTATCCAAGAAAAGCGAAGCAGAAGCAGATCTTAATCTCCCAGGAGCAATCCTAACCATAATTATACACAACAAATCAAGCAAAACAAAAAAGAAAGGATAAAAATCCGGGGGAATTTGAAGTCCGGACAGGAAATGGGATCCCAGAAACGGAGCCAAACAACGGATCTCTCCTAATCCGGGGTGGTTAGTCCACTGGAAATCCGAAGTGCCAATGAGTTTAATAAACCCTAGTTCAGTTACACAAAAGCATGAAACATGAACGAATCTGAGACTACCAATTGCGAAAAAACATCTCAATAAAAAATTAAGACAGAAAACCAATCCCCACAGACTACAAAAAAAAAAAGAAAACTAATTTTACCCAAATGAAAACGGTTTCACGAATCTCACATCTCTCCTTTTTTTTTTCCAGCTGGGATACACACTGAATACAAAACCATGGCAAAAGCCGTACTCGAATCAAATATATACAGTCAAATAAACCACTGGATTTCAGCACTGCTTAAAAAATTAGACAAATACAGAATCTAATTTCATCTTTTTCCACTCATTGTTTTTCTTGCAACACTGTTGGGCACCAAACATCACCAAAACTGAGCTCCACACAAATAAGCACAGTGACTGTGGGAAAAATATAGAGCTCCAACAATCAAGTAAAATAAATGCAAACCAAGAACATGTAGAATTATAACAATAAATTTAATTTGACAGATAATTTTCTTGCTGAAAAACTTTGATCTGCAAAACCAAATAACATTTTTCAACAAAAAAAGAACTAATTTAACAAAGCAAAAACAGTATACGAAAAACAGCTATTCAATTTAGCTTCATTAAGAATATAGGAAGTCCATTCAAAACAACCAAACGGATAAAAATATAGAAGAACCAACCTTTTTGAAAGATCACTGGTTCCATCGTACGTTCAATAACTTTAGCATGAACCAAATTATCTGAAATAAAAACAAAGTCCATTAACCAAATCAGAAGAAAACCAATACAGATAAACAGAGAAAAACGCATTCACACACATGCATAATACAATACATACAATATATAATTAAATGACATACCTTGATGGCCTGTGGATCTGCGACCTTGTTTCAAGAAGAAGAGCAGACGGAAACAGTTCTAATGATGAGGCAGTACAAACTTCTGAGTGGGAACTAAAATTAGAATAACGTAAATTTCAAACCATTTATAAGTACCAAATCACAAAAGCCCCAAATTTAAACAAATTAAAGCCACCCGGATGTACAACCCGAAGAACTCACCGGAAAGCCCTAGCTTTTCTGCCTAAAAAATTCCTTTAAATCAAACCGAAAAACTGAAGATGGTTACCTGAATTCAATAAAAATTAAAATATAATGAATTTACTCTTAACCATGGTTTTTTCAAGAATCAGAAAAACCTAAAAATATCCGAAACGATCCCAAATTTTGGAACTGCTTTAAAGTTTAAACCAACCTGCCATGAAATTGGGTCCACTGCGCTCGCCATTTCCCACTTCCTCCGATCGTTTTTGATAAAACAAAAATTTTTAAATTGTCAATTTTCAGATATTAATTGGAAAATAAAGCGCAGAATTGGTAAAGTCCGCACCTTCACACCTCGTTTCTGCGGTTGAATGAGTTATCTCAGCTGAACATACAGAGTGAGAATGGCGAGCTGTCAAGGAGTTCGCGGCTGGCGAGAGAGAGAATCGGTGAGGGATCTGAGGGAAATTACAGAGTGAGAAAAGGGAGGGATGGGGGATGGATGTTTATAGAGAGAGTCAGGAGAGAAAAAGAGGGAATGAAAGAGGGGGATGGAACGGACGGAAAAGTATTGCACGATGATTGACGCGTGGGCGCTCTTCCACCGTGCGGTGGCAATTTCATAAATAAATAGAAATTCCAATCTGAACAGCAGAGAAGGGCTGTGGCAATTTTGCAAATAAAGTGAAATTCGGCTCCATACACTGTTCATTTGTACAGTGCAATTGAAAAGCCTTCTTTAGACTAAAGTAATTGGGAGTCTATGCTCCTTCTCTCACACAGCATATTCCATTCGGTTTCATACTTACAAACTTCCAAACGTTTATGTGATGATAAGGCTGTGTTGATTCTCCACGTATTGTTTCTAGCTTGTCTCTATATATGTATATAAATATGACGTTCCATCGGGATTGTTTGTCAGGTTTGGTGGGTTTTTTTTAACCTAATCGATGGTTTAAGTCTCGTTTGAAAATCATTTCGTTTTTCATCCTAAGTTTAGAAATCTTTCATTTTATTAAGAACATGTTTAAAAGTGTTTCTGATACCTTTTGAGCGAAAAAATTCAAAGTGCCTATAAATTAAAAAAAAAAACAATAGAAGAGAAAAAAAAAACACTTCCGAATACTTTTTCTTAAAGTGCCTACATTTAAAAAAAAATAATTGATAGGCTACTTCTACTAAAAGCACTTTTAAGCAAAAACACTTTTAAAGTCGCCCTAATTCGAATGACGGTTCTAAATTTTCAAGTGAACTTGACTAAAATCCACAGTCCAGAATTATCTCCACAGAGATTTTAAGACACGTCTGCCAATAAGCTTCCAAGCAGAAGGAATGGCACCAATTTCTTACCCGCACGACACGTCTGTCATACTTTTCTTCCCTAAACCTTAAACCAGATATGTCCCCTGCGCCTATAAATGCATGTACCCTCCCAAGCACTTTGAGCAACAACCAAAAAACACACGTACAAAAATGGCAACCAAAACACAAACCCTAGCCCTAACGCTGTCCCTCTTGGTCCTCATTTCTTCATGCAAGTCCTCTGAATCTGCCGGAATCGCCACGTATTGGGGCCAAAACACCAACGAAGGAACCCTAGCAGATGCTTGCAACACAGGCAACTACCAGTTTGTTAACATAGCTTTCCTCACGACTTTCGGCAACAACCAACCCCCTGTCCTGAACCTCGCCGGCCACTGCGACCCCGGCAGTACTTGCAAGGGGCTGAGCTCCGACATCAGAGCCTGCCAATCCAAAAACATAAAAGTCCTCCTCTCGATTGGAGGGGCTGCCGGAAGTTACTCTCTCACTTCAGCTGATGATGCCAGGCAAGTTGCTGATATACATCTGGAACAACTTCCTAGGTGGTCAGTCAGCTTCGCGCCCGCTTGGAGACGCTGTTTTGGACGGCGTTGATTTCGACATTGAGGCAGGTGGTGGGCAGTTCTATGATGAGCTTGCCAGGTCACTGAACGGACACAAAGGACAGGCAAAAACAGTCTATTTAGCTGCAGCTCCACAATGTCCGTTCCCGGATACTCACCTAGACGGCGCTATCCAAACCGGCTTGTTTGACTATGTTTGGGTCCAGTTCTACAACAACGCCGAATGCCATTATGCAAACGGTAATGCCGACGCTCTTTTGAGCAAGTGGAACCAATGGGCCTCGGTTCCCGCCAGCCAGGTGTTGTTGGGGTTACCGGCTGCTCCTGCGGCTGCTCCGAGCGGCGGATTTGTTCCTGCTGATGCTCTCAAGTCACAGGTTCTTCCAGCTATTAAGAATTCGCCTAAGTATGGAGGAGTTATGCTTTGGAGCAAGCAGTTTGACAACGGTTATAGCGCATCCATTAAGGACAGCATCTAATTAAGTTCTGTGCCTGGCTTGCTTGTCCATATTATGTTGTTAAATAAGTTCCCAATAATGTAATCTCGACACACTAGATAAATAAAGTGTTTCAAGGTTGTTTGATTAAAACTATTTGGTTGAGTTGATCTATACACTCCATCTAAATTTAGGGATCATTTGTAAGTGATTTTAAAGTAACTGAAAACGCTTTTAGAAAAAATGTTTTTGGGTTCCAAAAGTATTTGAAGTGTTTTGTACAAGAAACATCAGTATATGTTTTTTGTACGAAACACTTTTAAGTGATTTTCCGGGATTCACTTGCAATTTAACTAAGGATTGTTTTCAAAAATATTTTCACCGAAAGCGTTTTCAGTTATTTTAAATGCACTTCTAAATAAGCCCTCACTTAACTAAGTAATCTAAAATAAGTATAAATTGGGATCAGGATCCATCATCCACCACACGTTCAACAATTCGAACAACTAGAGGTGAAAAGAGCAAGTTCGTTATTCTTATAACCAACTCTCACAGTAGTATATAACTATATTCGATCGCTCTAATTCTTCAACAAATGGCAAAGGGTCAATTTATTTGGGGTTTTATCACAAATGATCTATGTAATAGATCTAATACTCATTATTTTGGTCCCTCAATTTGAAAATCGATCAAAATTTACAAACTGAAATGCATCAATTTCATTATTTGGTTAATAAAAATAAAAATTTAGAATTTCCGTGTGAGAAAAAAAAAACTTGAAATTAAGACCTCAATTCCCAAGTTTAAATTCATGTAGATAGTTGTCCTATTCAAAATTTCGCCAATGAAGTTTAAAAACAAAAAATACAAAAAAGTCAACCAAGAACGACAACAACCACCACATGTCATCATCATATACCATTATCACTGATGTTGCCGCCACCATCATTACCGCATTTGCCACCACCATTACATCTCCTAACTATAATATCTCATGTTAATGACTCAATACGTCAATTCAATTTTGGATTTAGTCAAACAATAAAGTTCACAAATTCTAAAAAATAAAATTCCATGTTCAATTTGCGTGTTTAGAATCTTGTACACACTGTAACAGATCATCATTAATCTTGCTTTTAAGTCTGATAGCTTATGTAAAGCAAACCGTGTCTCCATGGTCAACTGTTCAAAGGTATAGTTGGGCACTTTAAAGTTAAACCCATACAACAACAACAACAACAAAGCCTTTTCCCACTAAGTGGGGTCGGCTATATGAATCCTATAGCGCCATTGCGCTCAGTTTTGTGTCATGTCCTCCGTTAGATCCAAGTACTCTAAGTCTTTTCTGAGGGTCTCTTCCAAAGTTTTCCTAGGTCTTCCTCTACCCCTTCGGCCCTGAACCTTTGTCCCGTGGTCACATATTCGAACCGGAGCATCAGTAGGCCTTCTTTGCACATGTCCAAACCACCGTAACCGATTTTCTCTCCTCTTTCCTTCCATTTCGGCTACTCCTACTTTACCTCGGATATCCTCATTCATAATCTTATCCTTTCTCGTGTGCCCACACATCCAACGAAGCATCCTCATCTCCACTACACCTACGTGTTGATGCTTCACCGCCCAACATTCTATGCCATACAGCATTGCCGGCCTTATTGCCGTCCTATAAAATTTTCCCTTGAGCTTCAGTGGCCTACGACGGTCACATAACACGCCGGATGCACTCTTCCACTTCATCCATCCAGCTTGTATTCTATGGGTGAGATCTCCATCAAATTCTCCGTTCTTTTGCAAGATAGATCCTAGGTAGCGAAAACGGTCGCTCTTTGGTATTTCCTGATCTCCGATCCTCACCCCTAACTCATTTTGACCTCCGTTTGCACTGAACTTGCACTCCATATATTCTGTCTTTGATCGGCTTAGGCGAGGACCTTTAGATTCCAACACTTTTCTCCAAAGGTTAAGCTTCGCGTTTACCCCTTCCTGCGTTTCATCTATCAACACTATATCGTTTGCGAAAAGCATACACCAAAGAATATCATCTTAAATATTAAGTTTGTGATCTTCGCTAGATTGCTCCGGTCATTAGTATGGATAAGTATGTAAATGGATAGAGATAGGAAGCAAACACAAGATGTACGTGGTTCACCCAGATTGGCTACGTCCACGGAGTAAATGAGTTCTCATTAATTGTGAAGGGTTTACACATTATATAGGTTCAAGCTCTCCTTTAATGAGTACAAGTGAATGATTTAGTACAAATGACATTAGGAAATATTGTGGAAGAATGATCTCGTAATCACGAAACTTTTAAGTACCGAAGTGTGGTATCGTCTTCACTTGCCTTATCTGTCTCATAGGTAGATGTGGCATCTTCTTTGGAAGTACTCTTCCTCCTTCCAGGGGTGGTATCTTTAACTGGTGGAGATGCACAAGGTAATGTATCAATTTCACTTGACGCTTACTTGTAGATTCAGGCTTGGTCAAGCGCGATACAAACCATGTAGTAGGAGTCCCCCAAGTCGCCGAGCTAGGGGATCTGCTGAAAGAGGTGACAGACAAGGTAAGCAATCAGAGCTCCAAGCAATCAGTCCCAGATCAGAAGTTTGATTTCGAGTTCCGGCTGATTGTTATCCTTCTCCTTATCTTGCAGGTAGCATGAAGGATAAAGAGAAGAAAATGAGAAAATGTGATATGAGATACTTTTGCTTTCAAAGAAGTAACTTTCCACAGGCTTATTCTTGAACTGGGCTAGAGGGTTTTCTTGTTTCCGCCAGAGTATAAGGCCGACTGAAGAATTTGAGGGTCAAAACAAGTCCATCAAATCTAGAGTACGTTCGACCCTGCTGATATGGGATACTTTTGCTGTTGACAAAGTAGTGGATGTATCGGCACGTGTTCTGTTGCGCTTGTCTCCACATGCTTCCTTGTATCCTTCTCACTTGCCCTATTTGTTCCTCAGGCAGATGTGGTATCTTCTCGGGAAGCATAAGATGTTGAAGATGAGTACTCGAGAGCAATGAGGTTCCAAACAGTCAGTTCCGGACTGGAAGCTTGATTCCAAGTGCTGGCTGATTGCTCTCTTTCTCCTTGTCTTACAGGTAAGAACAAGGCCAAAGGAAAAGACAGGGAAAAAGCATGATATGGGATACTCTTGCTTTTAACCCTGATGATATGAGATATTCTTGC